ACAATATATTGCATATTTACCAACAAAAAACAAGCCCTAATATGTTACTCTGTCCTTTTAGTTCCTTCTCAACAATATATTGCATATTTACCAACAAAAAACAAGCCCTAATATGTTACTCTGTCCTTTTAGTTCCTTCTCAACAATATATTGCATATTTACCAACAAAAAACAAGCCCTAATATGTTACTCTGTCCTTTTAGTTCCTTCTCAACAATATATTGCATATTTACCAACAAAAAACAAGCCCTAATATGTTACTCTGTCCTTTTAGTTCCTTCTCAACAATATATTGCATATTTACCAACAAAAAACAAGCCCTAATATGTTACTCTGTCCTTTTAGTTCCTTCTCAACAATATATTGCATATTTACCAACAAAAAACAAGCCCTAATATGTTACTCTGTCCTTTTAGTTCCTTCTCAACAATATATTGCATATTTACCAACAAAAAACAAGCCCTAATATGTTACTCTGTCCTTTTAGTTCCTTCTCAACAATATATTGCATATTTACCAACAAAAAACAAGCCCTAATATGTTACTCTGTCCTTTTAGTTCCTTCTCAACAATATATTGCATATTTACCAACAAAAAACAAGCCCTAATATGTTACTCTGTCCTTTTAGTTCCTTCTCAACAATATATTGCATATTTACCAACAAAAAACAAGCCCTAATATGTTACTCTGTCCTTTTAGTTCCTTCTCAACAATATATTGCATATTTACCAACAAAAAACAAGCCCTAATATGTTACTCTGTCCTTTTAGTTCCTTCTCAACAATATATTGCATATTTACCAACAAAAAACAAGCCCTAATATGTTACTCTGTCCTTTTAGTTCCTTCTCAACAATATATTGCATATTTACCAACAAAAAACAAGCCCTAATATGTTACTCTGTCCTTTTAGTTCCTTCTCAACAATATATTGCATATTTACCAACAAAAAACAAGCCCTAATATGTTACTCTGTCCTTTTAGTTCCTTCTCAACAATATATTGCATATTTACCAACAAAAAACAAGCCCTAATATGTTACTCTGTCCTTTTAGTTCCTTCTCAACAATATATTGCATATTTACCAACAAAAAACAAGCCCTAATATGTTACTCTGTCCTTTTAGTTCCTTCTCAACAATATATTGCATATTTACCAACAAAAAACAAGCCCTAATATGTTACTCTGTCCTTTTAGTTCCTTCTCAACAATATATTGCATATTTACCAACAAAAAACAAGCCCTAATATGTTACTCTGTCCTTTTAGTTCCTTCTCAACAATATATTGCATATTTACCAACAAAAAACAAGCCCTAATATGTTACTCTGTCCTTTTAGTTCCTTCTCAACAATATATTGCATATTTACCAACAAAAAACAAGCCCTAATATGTTACTCTGTCCTTTTAGTTCCTTCTCAACAATATATTGCATATTTACCAACAAAAAACAAGCCCTAATATGTTACTCTGTCCTTTTAGTTCCTTCTCAACAATATATTGCATATTTACCAACAAAAAACAAGCCCTAATATGTTACTCTGTCCTTTTAGTTCCTTCTCAACAATATATTGCATATTTACCAACAAAAAACAAGCCCTAATATGTTACTCTGTCCTTTTAGTTCCTTCTCAACAATATATTGCATATTTACCAACAAAAAACAAGCCCTAATATGTTACTCTGTCCTTTTAGTTCCTTCTCAACAATATATTGCATATTTACCAACAAAAAACAAGCCCTAATATGTTACTCTGTCCTTTTAGTTCCTTCTCAACAATATATTGCATATTTACCAACAAAAAACAAGCCCTAATATGTTACTCTGTCCTTTTAGTTCCTTCTCAACAATATATTGCATATTTACCAACAAAAAACAAGCCCTAATATGTTACTCTGTCCTTTTAGTTCCTTCTCAACAATATATTGCATATTTACCAACAAAAAACAAGCCCTAATATGTTACTCTGTCCTTTTAGTTCCTTCTCAACAATATATTGCATATTTACCAACAAAAAACAAGCCCTAATATGTTACTCTGTCCTTTTAGTTCCTTCTCAACAATATATTGCATATTTACCAACAAAAAACAAGCCCTAATATGTTACTCTGTCCTTTTAGTTCCTTCTCAACAATATATTGCATATTTACCAACAAAAAACAAGCCCTAATATGTTACTCTGTCCTTTTAGTTCCTTCTCAACAATATATTGCATATTTACCAACAAAAAACAAGCCCTAATATGTTACTCTGTCCTTTTAGTTCCTTCTCAACAATATATTGCATATTTACCAACAAAAAACAAGCCCTAATATGTTACTCTGTCCTTTTAGTTCCTTCTCAACAATATATTGCATATTTACCAACAAAAAACAAGCCCTAATATGTTACTCTGTCCTTTTAGTTCCTTCTCAAACAATATATTGCATATTTACCAACAAAAAACAAGCCCTAATATGTTACTCTGTCCTTTTAGTTCCTTCTCAAATAATATATTGCATATTTACCAACAAAAAACAAGCCCTAATATGTTACTCTGTCCTTTTAGTTCCTTCTCAAATAATATATTGCATATTTACCAACAAAAAACAAGCCCTAATATGTTACTCTGTCCTTTTAGTTCCTTCTCAAATAATATATTGCATATTTACCAACAAAAAACAAGCCCTAATATGTTACTCTGTCCTTTTAGTTCCTTCTCAAATAATATATTGCATATTTACCAACAAAAAACAAGCCCTAATATGTTACTCTGTCCTTTTAGTTCCTTCTCAAATAATATATTGCATATTTACCAACAAAAAACAAGCCCTAATATGTTACTCTGTCCTTTTAGTTCCTTCTCAAATAATATATTGCATATTTACCAACAAAAAACAAGCCCTAATATGTTACTCTGTCCTTTTAGTTCCTTCTCAAATAATATATTGCATATTTACCAACAAAAAACAAGCCCTAATATGTTACTCTGTCCTTTTAGTTCCTTCTCAAATAATATATTGCATATTTACCAACAAAAAACAAGCCCTAATATGTTACTCTGTCCTTTTAGTTCCTTCTCAAATAATATATTGCATATTTACCAACAAAAAACAAGCCCTAATATGTTACTCTGTCCTTTTAGTTCCTTCTCAAATAATATATTGCATATTTACCAACAAAAAACAAGCCCTAATATGTTACTCTGTCCTTTTAGTTCCTTCTCAAATAATATATTGCATATTTACCAACAAAAAACAAGCCCTAATATGTTACTCTGTCCTTTTAGTTCCTTCTCAAATAATATATTGCATATTTACCAACAAAAAACAAGCCCTAATATGTTACTCTGTCCTTTTAGTTCCTTCTCAAATAATATATTGCATATTTACCAACAAAAAACAAGCCCTAATATGTTACTCTGTCCTTTTAGTTCCTTCTCAACAATTAGGATTGCTGACTTTTGTCCTTTTTTATATGTTGTGTGTGCATGCAGTGGGGAAGAGTGTATTAAAAATTAATAATAAATAAATAAATAAATAAAAAGCAAAGTTACTATTGAATTAACAATAGAATCCAAAATATTTGACCCTGAGCATAGAACAAAAAGAAAGTTGGTTGGGCAATCATATTTATGCCATGTATATGTGGATTTGTTCTAGCATAGAATTTTTTTCTATTAAAAATATGCTATCACATGCACATCTGCAGGTCCTATAAAAATGTCAACCTAAAAAGATTTTGCCATCAAATTAGGTCACAAAAGCACACTTATCCATTGACTTACAGAAATTGATGAAGCAAATTTTAGTGTTAAATGCACCATCTCGCTACTGCATATTAGCAGATTTCCTAGTTTACCATGCACCACAATATCCTTACTTGAAGTATTGACCAATAAAACATTGGTTACTATTGTTTTTACCATCAGTTCAATTTAGATTGTCACAGATTTGATATTGAGAGAAATATCTCAACAAGTGTGCGATACCAAAGCAGGCCAGATGACAACAAATCATGCTCCATATCATTTACAAATAAATTTTTGATAGTGGAGAAGCTTAGATGACAAAATTATACTGCTCATGTCCATGGACCAATCAATTGATGTAATAAAACAAAAACTACTCTCATTCCACGCCATGGTAAAAGATAATGCAAATGATAAAATGAAAGTTGTTAATATTATTGACTTCATCAAACTTGATACTATAGGCAAAATGTGTCAATAAAATAATAGTTTATTCCCCCCATCAAAAATAAGTGCACAAATCCAAGTACTTGGAATTTTTCCCAATAAATTTATGAAATGGAGCCAGTAGTTATAATATTCTAAGATTCCATTCAGCATCAGGGTTAATGTATGTAACTAGTAGATAAACTACAAGGGAGAGACAAAGAGTTGATATGTTTTAAGAACGTATAATTGAATCAAAAATAGTTTTCAAACAAGATGATCTTTAAGTAGTTTAATGTCCCTAATTATTGTGCCCAAAAATATTAGAGAATAAACATAATTATCCTAAAATCTCTTCAAAACCAAGTGTCATAGAAGGAAGTCAAACAAAGTTGAAGAATAAAAAAAAGAATACCTCTCTGTTTCAATAGTCCTCTTTGCAAGCATAAGTGTCAAGAAGACTGGAACCATTGCAGCACACAAATGCTTAAGAGTGTGCCCACTGACAATATGATGTGTCCATTTATAAATTGGTTTATCTGCAGCTTCTTCAACCTTAGCTAAAAGATAAAATCCTGCATGTTATGCAATTAAATGTTACTCAGAATGGCACAAAAAACTAACAGATTTAGTAAACAGAAGAGCCCACATGATGAAATATACAAACCTGCAGCCCAAAGCCAGTTTGTGGAATGTGTGTACATTGGAAGCAACAAGATAGCCATTATCGGAATTACAATGCAAGGAACAAACTGAACCAGTGCATATGGGCAGAGTCCATGGCACACGTAAAGTTGCCAACTCCCACAATATCACGCCAAAGCTTTACACATCGGACCTGCAAACCAGTTCGCAATTATTTTATCAGCAAGACTTGAATGAAACATTAAAAAATGAATTAAACTCTCTAGCATGGCTTTCAAGTCTAATACAAAAAATAAACCTACTTCTCATTGGATGGTTCATTTTTCAAAACCTCAGGGGCCATCCATTCCACCTGCAGTTCAATGGCACAACTTCAGTATAATTGATATAATATAACATTCTATAACATTCTATCCTGACATCAATTACCGTTCCAGCAGTAGATTTTGAAGACAGGAAAGTATTGTGCTTCATTCGTGATAAGCCAAAATCACAAACTTGTAGAGACAACAATAAATTAGAGAAGTTTCAAAAAAAACACCCTTAAGCATGAAAAAGTCTAGATCTTAGTAAAAGAGACGAAGTCCATGGTGAGTCACGGCATTGTTAACTACGCATTTTCTAGATTACATTAAATACAGCAACAATTGGATAATCAAGGAAGGAATGGGAGATTTCAAATGCCAAGTTCTAATTTCAGCAAACCTTAACAACCCAGTTTTTTATCAACAAGAAGGTTTGGAGTCTTAAGATCTTGATGCACAATAATAGGATGGCTTGTGTGCAAATAATTCATCCCCTTGGCCTGCAAGCAATTAGTAAACTTACTTAAACCAACCAAACTAGATAGCAGAAACGGAAGGCAACACCATTCAACATTCTCCAACTCATACAACATCAAGAGCCATCCGCAGTCGCTTCTTTTCATCGAGTTGATTATTTGGTCGATGCAGCAGCTTGTATAAACTTCCCCTGCATACAAATAAACGGGGCTGAGAAACACCAAATTGAACAAACAAATAGTTAATTGAGGCTGAAATCAAATTCTATTTTCCTGCATGGACAATGATAAAATTAACTGAAATTTTTTTCAGGTGAAATATCTTCTTCTAAAAATCAACCCACAAAAAACTTAAATTAAAATAAATTATTTTATTCTTTAGACATAAAAGCTTGGCAATATTTATACCCAGTTGTCATTTCTTATTATTATGTAAGAATGATAGTCTGAAACTATGTTACCATTAAAAATATGAAGGCAAACATTTGATGAAAACGGAACAAAAGCATCAATTCTTGAAACGATAAGTTCTAACAAGACTTTAAAGTAAACATCAACCTTGGAAGATACTCTGTCAGTATAGAAAGATTTGGTGGATGAGTGACTGCTCCCATGAAAAGAACAACATTAGGATTTCTCAACCTCAACATGATTTCAACCTGCACAAAGCAAACAAGTAGTCGTCTAGTTCAATTCTTAAAAAGAAAACCACTTGGATCATTAATAACAGCACATGATGCAAGATGTCAGATTTGGTACTTCACATTTGAATTGAACAAGTGCATCGCCTGATTTTAGTTCTTGGATGAGTGCACAAATTTATGTAACATCAATTCTTACCAATGCCAATGCGTTCTCCAATTTGAAGATCCTCCCATGGAATTTCCCACTCCGCAACTTCACCAAGCACTGGGTTAATCTTCTCATTCTGAATACTGCAAACACTAGGCAGGCTACTATTGTCCATTTCCATCAATCTCACAGCTTCAACATTATCAAGTACGTTTCTCAGCAACTTCCTGTCATGGAATCACATTTTACACCAGATAGAGAGTCGTAAACTATAATTTCTGTAAGCAACTATTGACAAAAGGTTCGATCAAATTCACTAATGCATCTAAAATATAACTTACAGTGCCATTCCAAGCAAAACAGATCCTTCACTTGTAGCATCAAAAAGTAATGGATGTGTCGTATTAATGACTGTAGAACCCAACTCCAGTCGTTCTGCCATCAAATCCTCAACAGAGTGCTTTTGTTTGCTATCATAATGAGCACCATTAAAGGACTCCACTCCAGTTGAGGGTATAATCAACATTTTATTGTTTGACAAGAACATATCTGGATAATCTTGAGCCCCATCACCCACTTTTTCCCCATTTAACAAACGTATTTTTTCATGCATTTCCACTTCTCTGAGATCACGAGGATTCATATCCAGAAGAAAATCGGGAGGTTGTGATGCACCACTCTCCAACAAAACTGCATGAAGTTTCTGAGCAAATTGTGGGTTTTTTGCTGCACTGATGACGTACTTGGAAACATCTTTAACTTTCATCTTTTGTGCTTGTGACCCCTTCCCACTAGTGCCTGACAATTCTGCATGTGATCTACATAGTGCAGGAAGAAGCTTCCCAAACTCATTCTCAAACATCTGGGTTTGATTTTCTTTATCAAGATCAGGTGAAACTGCCACCGTCCCAGTTCCTTCTTCAAGCATCGGACAGAAATTGTTGATAGTTTCAGCATAATCTGCACTGCTCCTCGTATCTAACCCAGAATTTTGAAGATGATCACTGGGAACCTCAGCAGAATCTTAGTGTCCGAGCACCCATTAGATCAATAATGTATTCACTGCATCAAATCAATAATCAGCCATATCATTACTAAGTGTTCTGTTCAAAACATTTAAAGCCATAACAATTCTTTCTGTAAGACACTGAAAACAAATTGAAGGAAAGATGAAAGAGGAAAAAAAACACACAGCATTCACCATGAAGATCAACTCCATTTCTATAATAAAAATCCAGCTACTAAAGAACAACATATATCTGACAATAAATGACTTGACTGCATACATGCTGCTCTGAAAGAATTATAAGTCCCACAGAGAAATTGTTTGTCATTTGTAAATCGTTTGAAAAATATCATAATATAGTGTAGCAGCTGCCAATAAGGCTATAATGACTTCAGATTCGCAATTCAAATATAATTCATGCTATGGAAGAGCTTTCACAGCTCAAGAATAATCTTATATAATCTTATATCATTGTGCAAATCTGTGAGTGACTATCATTTGACTATCACACGCCGTTAATCCTTGATTTTCTGTTAGTGATTTTAGAAGGTGAAAAGAGAATGATTATGAAACAAGTACCGAGTAGAGGAGAATGAAACAAGAGCAGATGAAAAGCAGTATGATGAGAAAAACTACATGGTGTTTGTGCAAATTAATTTCAAACGATGTTGATTTGTAAAAATTAAGAACCCCGACTGGAGAAAGTTATTACAAGCAATAAAATTCTGCAAAACTAAGAAAACTGTAGTCATTATTGCTCAGGAGTCAATTGGGAAAAATGTATCGATCGTCACCGAAATACAAATCTCGAACAAGAATCGAAATTCAAACATGGAACACTACAATAATAATTACGAATCGAACCCAGACTGGAAAGTTTTCTTTCCGAATGTTCACATTGAATAAACACATCGGATACAAAAAAATTATTCAAATTACGAAGAAATTAAACAAATGAGAGCGTGCGAATTAAAAATTGAATCAATTAAACAAAAAAATTCAACAGAACAATTGAATCAATGAAGTAACCTTCAGATCAGCGAACGAAGTAGAGACATTCGGGATCTGTAAATTGTTGTTCTAGATCTGCTAATAGAAGTTGTGTATATGTGTGTATGTAATTTCGACACAACACACACAACAGAGGACGAGGCGAGAAGAGAGAGAGAGAGAGAGAGAGACCTGCTTGCTTGTGAAGGACTAACAGACTGATTAGCGCGCAGAAGAGGGAGAGAAACCTGTTGACTGCTGGCGGTGCGGTGGTGATTTGCGCCTGCGGCCGGTGGCGATGTGCGACGTACGGTGAGCGACTGTGGTGAGGGACTGTGCAGAGATAGGTGGGGTGAGGTGTGGTGATGTGTGAGAGAGAGGACTTTTGTGTTTGTTCAAATGAGAATGGAAGAGGGCGCGAATATTAAAAGTAATTCCCCCGCAAAGTTTTAGACCAATTAGCACTAAATTGGTTATTTTGTCGCCAAATAACCATATATGACTAAAACTTCCTGTAGCAAGAACTTTTCGTAAAACAAAAAACTTTAAAAAATCCCTATATACCAAAAATACTAAAATTCAATATATTTTTCGTATTTTGTGTATTTATTAATTTTTAAAAATATTTTTTATTTGATAGAAGTAGGGGTAATATTTTAATGAAAATATTTTTCGTTAAAATAAATTAATTTTTTATGGTCGATGAAAAAAATTTTTTGTGACCTTCATTTTTTTTTTTATTACTAAAATCAAGAGCTAATTTTTTGTGGTAGATGATTTGAGAAGCGGTATAGTTAGTGAAGGTGGTGGATAAAAGCTGAGGTTGGTGGTGGTTGGTGTGGTAAACGACTACCTCGGGCTCCTAAAAGCCCACCTCAACCCATCTCTGCTAAAACACAGACGAAAAAAAAGAAACTGGGTTTTCGATGTTTGTCGATGACAAAAGACCCCCCGCCCCTTTTTCCCCCAGGTATTTTTCTTGTGTTTTTGCCATATAATAGACACAACAACAATATCCAAGCTTGGTGACGGCGAAGGAGATTAGTTGGTAAAATTTATTGTAAATGGTGGAAGAGGAGATTGGAAGTGACGGTGATCGAGAGAAAAAATGCATAAAACCCAGTAGTTAGTAGCGTAATTGTCGAACAGGTAGTATGTATGTGAGTGTAAATATTACTAAGAGGTTAGATTTTTTTCCCCACCCTATAAAAGGGGTGGGGGGTGTATCTTTCCCAACTTCCTGTTCGAGCGCATGGCGGGAATTATGCATACTTCTGAGGACTCCGGCTGAATCAAGGTCGGTAGCTGAATGACCATTGTGCAGTAGTCGGGAACGGCGAGATAGAGGAGATGGAGTGGTGAGAGAGAGATGGGTGGAGACAGATGAGAGCAAGGAGAGATAGAGAGAAGAGAGATGAGCTAGAGAGACATAGAGAGAAGAGAGATGAATGAGAGAGACAGAGAGCTCGGTAAATAGAAAAGATGGGAGAGAGAGAGTGGGCAAGGTGAACACAATGGGGGAGAGAGACAGACAGACACACAGAGAGAAATAAAGAGAGAAGGGTGATGAGTGAGAGAGAGACAGACAGATACACAAAGAGAAAGAGAGAGAGAAGAGTAATGAGTGAGAAAGAGAAAAAGATATATATATATATATATATAGAGAGAGAGGGAAAGAAAAAGAGATAGAGAGACAGACAGACAGAGAGATGAGTGAGTGAGAGAGAGACAGAGTGGTCACTAAAAGTGCATTTTCTTGTAGTGAAGAGCTCGGTAAATAGAGAAGAGGGGAAGGAGAGAGTGAGCAAAGTGAATACAATAGGGGAGAGAGACAGACAGACAGAGACACAGAGAGAAAGAGAGAGAGAAGAGTGAGAGACAGACATAGAGAGAGAAAGTGAGAAAGAAGAGTGATGAGTGAAAGAGAGACAGAGAGAGAAAGAGATAGAGACATAGACAGAAAGAAAGAAATAAGAGATGAGTTAGAGATAGACAAAGAGAGAGAGAAAGAGAGTGAAAAGAGATGATCGAGAGAAAGACATAGAAAAAGAGAGAGATAGAAAGAGAAAAAAGATGAGCATGAGAGACAGAGAGAGAGAAGAGAGACGAGTGAGAGAGATAGAGAAAGAAAAAAGATGAGAGAGATAAAGAGAAGAGAGATGAGCGAGAGACAAAGAGAAAAAGAGACAGAGACAAAGACAGACAGACAGAGAAGAATGCTGAGTGAGAGAGACAAAAAGAAGAGAGAGAGAAAAAGAGAGAGACAAAGAGAAAAAGAGATAGAGAGTGAGAGACAAAAAAAGAGATAGAGAGAGAGGAGAGAGAGAAAGAGATAGACAAAGAGAGGAAGAGACAGAAAAAGAGATAGAGAGAGATGAGAGATGAATGAGAGAAATAGAGAGATGAACGAGAGAGACAGAGAGAGAGAGATAGAGAGGAGATATGAGCGAGAGAGACAGAGAGAGAGAGATAGAGAGAAAAGAAATGAACGAGAGAGACAAAGAGAGAAGAGAGATGAGACAGAGATGCGAGAGAGCTCAAGAATAAAGATGAACAAGATAGATAGAGAGAAGAGAGATGAACGAAAGAGACAGAGAGAGAAGAGAGATAGAGAGAGAGATAGAGAGAGAGAGAAAGAGAGAGACAGAGACAAAGACAGAGGCAGAGACAGAGTAGGAAAGAGAAAGAGACAGAGAGAAACAAGAGATGAATAAGAGATAAACAAAGAGAGAGAAAGAGAGGGAAAAGAGATGATCGAGAGAAATACATAGAAAAAGAAAGAGGTAAAGAGAGAAGAAAGATGAGTAGGAAAGACAGAGAGTGAGATAGAGAGAAGATAGATGAATAAGAGAGATAGAGAAAGAAAAAAGATGAGAGAGATAGAGCGAAGAGAGATGAGATAAATGAGTGAGAGACACACAGAGAGAGACAGACAGATAGACAGAGAGAGATAGAGAAATGAGAGAGGAAGATAAAAAAAATAGGTGAAAAGA